GGAATCGATGCAATGAACGGGCAAAGGAGATGCATGTAGTTAACATTTCATTTGAATGACAAGATCACCAATTTCCTCTTCACTGTGAGTAAGTGAATTTTGAAAACGACATGTAATTACCATTTCCTTTTGGTGTTTTATAATTTGAAGATCGATTCATCGCAGAATCTATTTCTTTTCTCTAACTGTAAGTAATTGTAATCTCTTGATATTAATATATCGGTTCAATCTTGTTCGATTATCCTTGCACGATTATTTAATTATTCTTCATAATTAGTAATTTGATAATCAGTAGTAACGTACAATATCCCTACTTGTATTTAAATATTGAATTATTTCTATGGATGCAAATCAGGTTATGTAACTGTTTTCCACATTATCGATATCGTAGGTTATACAGAAACAGAGAGAATTCTATTTTATTTCTCGGTAATAGAGGATAAAGGTTCTCTACACACAGTAACGAAAATCGATATCGATACCTTTGACTGTTGGTAAAAAAAAAAAAAAATTACGATTGGAGAAAAAAAAGATTTAAAAAGAAAAAACGAAGGAAAGCAAAGGAGGAAATTACGTAAGAATAACGAGGAAGGATCGCCATTTCCAACGTAATAGATATTTTGCCCGTTGAATGCGAGAGTAGCACGTTCCGCGTAAATATAGAGGAGGCCGTTTTCGACAAAGAAAACCGATCTTACGGAAGACAGTCATTCAACGCTCTTTTGTGAAATCGTTCCTTTTTATCTTTCCCGTTGCGGAAAGATCCTTTTGCTTGCTCCTGTGTGTAAAAGGACAAAAGCCTGCCGCGCATGGATATGACGACGGGAAGGATAATAGTAAGGAAGGAAATGCCCTTTGAGTCCCCTCGCTCACCCCGTTTTTACCCTCTTCGCCCGATGGCCGAGCCACCCGGTGGCCTCTTCTCTTTTCATATTTATTGAACAGATACAGGACAACCATTACAGATATTGCGACTTCCTTTAAAATTCCTCCCTGTTTTCGAAGGATCCCGCTATCAACTATGAATGGGGAAATATTGTACGTACGTTGCGCGCACGAATGGAGCCGAGGAATCGAAAATATTCATTTGTACATTCAAATGTACGTTTTACCGTATGATGAAAAATGTAGGACAAGCTGAAGGAATAAAGAAGCAACGAAGGACTGATAAGTCGGTATCTAACTTTTGCCAACGTATACTAAATCAATAAATTATCGACAACCACCGATTAGAAGAAACGGGCTGATTCTTTTAGTTGTCCAAAATAATATAATTTTTCTTTCTTTCTTTTTTGCAACGAGAAGACAATCAAACTCTGGCTATTGAACGGTTTTAATTAGTATTCCAAAATTTCTTGATCTTTCCAATTATCCTACCTTACTTTTGAATAAAGAATCATTTAAAGGCCATTTGTTTAATAGAATTAATTTTTAAAGCACTCCGATTGACTCGTTAATCCCCGCCATTGTTTCTCACCCTCGTTTGAAATAAAATCGTTGAGACTGTGATGCAATTGTTAAGAAGCAGCTCGTTCGAAACATTTATTCTCCATATAAATATTAACACGTCGGCCACTTGATACTGCTGTATTTTAAACGATGCAAGAGTAAAAAAAAAAAAAAAAAA